ATTTTACACGGAATTTTTGATTATTGAGAGATTGCTCCAAAGTTTCTTCCGTGGATAAATGATCCCAAAAATGCTAAAAATTTTCTGAAGCAGGGGCATTGATTATCGCCAATATTTCATCTTCACAGTCATGTACACCTGTGCATCGCTGAAGATCGACTCTATTTTGCAAAACTGTTTTTGTTCCATAAGGATGCAATTGTCGATGGTTGAAACTTTCGTCAGAAATATAACTCTTCTCTTGATAGAACCCAGCAACTCCAGGCTGGAAGGTGAAGCTACTATCGTTAGTATTCCAGAATCATAACTTCAAATTGTGATCTAACCCAACCCAAACCAACCTAAACAAACCTAACGTAACGGTAATGAGATGCGTGGAACTTTTCAGGATATCGGCTGCGGATGCACATCTTCATAGGCAGCAAGAGGTTGCATAACTTAATGAGGATCTAGAGGTGATTTTGAATTGGGGTAACCACGTTCAGTTCACTGATACGAAAACCCAGGCATCGGCTTCATCCAAGAAGATAAATGTCTCCGAACCAGATATAATAATGTAAGGGCAAACAATTTCGCTCTATGTTTCAATGAGTTTGTTGGAGGTTCAAATATGTCTTGGTACAATCATGTCGCTGGAATTGCAAAGGCTGCTTTTCAAAAGCTTGGAACACTGTTCCTAACCAGAACTTCTTTGGACTATTGTTTTCATGTAAGAAGTTCCACTTCTGAGCATACCCTGACACTGCTGAATTTCATCCAGAAAAGAGCCATCTACCTGATTGGAGGTACGAACGTCACTTTCATCCTTCACAGTCTAGAATATCGAAGAAAAGTTGTAGATTCGTCTCTTTTCTACACGGGATGTGTTCAAGTGACTTGGCACATTTTATTCCATCAAGAGTGGTACATATCAGAAATACGCGACGACTGCTCATCTTTTTGAAGTTCAAATCAGTACACTTCGAACTCCAGTGTACCAGAACTCTTCCATTTGAAGAACTGCATTTATGTGGAATGAACTTTTTGAGAACGCCTTTGCAAATGGATTCAATCTCCAGCACCTCTCAGAGCGCCTGTAGTGCTTGTATTTTGTCCTTAAAAAAACAAACAAATTAATTGGCTTGGCTTGCAAAATTCTGTGAAATCGGCGCAACATTGATTTCTACTTGGTTATCATTACTCTCAGTCATAATTTCCTCCAGATCTTCATCAGAATATACAGCTTCTTGTTGAAAGAAGTGTGCTTTAGCTGCTGATATTTGGTCATCTGAGTTGGAAGAAAAAACAAGAATGCTATCATCAGCAGAGCAATAAATCGTATTTCTGTCTTTTCTTTTACGGCACGCCAAAATTTTCCAAAGACTCCATGTTTCTTAATTACATTATTCTGAAGATGGGTGAAGGCCATATCCCCTTATTCAGAACCCACTATAATGAACTCTAAAATATTTGAGAATTTCTTGATCCTCAGCTTTTCCAATGTTTCCGACATCACCGATATCAGCAAGAATATTTTTGTAATTCCTTTGAAAATATAAAGCAATTTACAATAAAACAAACACTAACTCTTTTATCATACTGCAACATGACGTAATGCAACACCGACAAGTTTTTATGTCAACTTGACTTGGGTGTCACACCAATAGGTGGTTCCACTTATGTTTCGCTTGCGTTAACGCAGCTATTTTTATCAAGTACTTTTCTGGTTTTTCACATTTTGTCTTCAATCGAGGACCGCCTGCCCGGTACTGAC